TGGAGAAGTGTTCTTAATACACCAAGAATTTTTTTTTAAAGACATTTACTAGTCCTACCTTTACATTACTGCCCGGAACATGGAGAAATTTCAATACTTTTCCTTTGTATCGGCTCGTAATCTCTATGGTTGCTTTGTCACTTTGGACCTCACAAAGCGGCTGAAATTCTTCAACTTGGTCCCCCTGGAGGAGGCGAAAAAGGCAAGATAAAAATTATCTCGAAAGAGTGCCAGGCCACGAAGAGAGAAGATCCCATTAATAACAAGCTAAAAACGTCCATATTTTCAAAAATAGGATCAAAACAACAAAAAGAATCATCCAACAACCAGCAATAGTACATTTTTTTGCACAACAATCGAACAAACAAAAAAAAAAGCATTTACCTCGTCCACAAACCATTTAAGAAGCTCACACTCTGCAATACCTTCACCAGTTTGGGCCAACGGAATATCAACCACACCATCAGTTGGAAGATCAGATACTGCTTGAGTCGTAAATTTACGACATTTTGTCCCGAATGAAATGCTCGACTGAAACAATAACAAAACACACAGAACCATTAGTTTGCATAACCACAAAAACAGAAAGTTGCATAAATTCCACATCTTGGGCATATAAAATTCTGAAGATTCTACACTCAAAAGGGCAAAAATTTGAAAATTTCTGGCCTTTTTTAATCATACTTGAGCAAGAGAGGTTGAGGTTCAAGAAACACAATAAATTCCAAACAAAACGCCAAACCAAATCTAAAGAATACTAAAACATCTCCAAATCAAAACACAGCTTCGAATATCTTTACACACAGAACAAGAATTTTACGTGTTCTTAGAATAAAAATGGAAAACAAGAGACTTACAGCATTTCCACCACTAGGATTCCTTAAGAAAAACAATGTCCTGGTCCCGCTGAAAACACTAACTTCGCATCGATGCATAAAACCCATTTCAGAGATACCGCTCCGAGCGCCGGCGACGCCAGCAGCCGATGGCGGCGGAGCAGTGGCGGAGTACACACTGCGCCACCATTGGCTGAAGCAGCAAGAATATGTTCGATAAATTTTACGGCAAATCATTCTACAGTAAAATTGTGGGAGCTGGAGCCGTAGCACTTATGTAATTTCTCGTTAAATTTGTTGAACAGTGCGATAAAATTCTCCTCTGATTCTGTAGATTTTCACCACTTTCAGGCTTCAAGTGTGTGTATTGAGTCTATTTGAGTATTGACTACTGAATGCTGTTTCCTAATATTTTCATTTTGCCCCTAATTTGTTATCTACTGAATAATTAAAACAACTAGTATTCGACCTGTGCATTTGCACAGATATATAAATAAAGTATTGTGAGTTATTTATATGTATATAATGATTAATGATTTTTGCCAAATTTACAATTAAATGAGCTGAAATATTTATTTTTTTAAAAAAAAAAAATGCGTATATCATATTGGATGTAATGTATATTTTGGTATGTATCTTTCTTTGTGAATTATGTATTAATTATTTAGTAATTTCAAATACGTTTTTTATTTTTCAAATGAAGTTAATTTAAATGTAATCACAACAGTAACATATAATCACGTTAAATAGTCAACACACTATATAGTCAGATGTAAGTAAATCAAAATTTTAAAATGATTTTTGTAATTTTGAAGTGATTAGTATATTTATTATCTAATAATTAAATGAGGTTAAATAAATAAAAAGTAACGGTTTTTGGAGTAAATCAAATGAAGTTAATTTAAATGTAATCACAACAATAACATATAATCACGTTAAATAGTCAACACACGATATGGTCAGCTGTAAGTAAATCAAAATTTAAAATGATTATTGTAATTTTGAGTGATTAGTATATTGATTATCTAATAACTAAATGAGGTTAAATAAATAAAAAGTAACGTTTTTTGGAGGAAAAAAAATTATATTGCCACATAAATATAATTTAATAGGTTTTATTAAATGCTCATGAGCCAGCAATTATATATATATATATAAATATTAATAATTATTTATTCACTCATTTATTAGCCACATAATTAAGTTGTAGTTATATACGTGTCATGTGAACATATATTTATTGCTCTTAGCCTTTAGGTTTAGGCACACCAAATATAATTAACTAACACTTAACCAAGGTTCTCAAAACCCACCGGTCATCGAATTGATCTAGCAACAAGTTTAATGGTTAACTGGTTTGACTAGTGGTTGAACCGATTGGACTGGTATTTAATTTATTAATATTTTTAAACATATATATAATATTTTATATGATAAAATTTATATGTAAAACTTTGTTAATTGAAAACAATTTAAAACATTCAAATACTTAAACTAACTAACAGTAACTTATATATATATATATATAATATTTAAATATTTTTTTATTTCACTAACAAAAAGAAAAGAATATGAAAATGGGATGATAAGTGCATTTTCTTTTGTTATGGAAAAACACATAATGTTTTTCCATATTTCATATCCATTTAGTTAAATTTAATCATTTATCAATTTAAGATAATAATAAATTTAATTAATGATACTACCTTAGTTATGGTCCGCAAGGGCCCCCACGCGTCCCAAGTATCGGATTTCCCACCGATCGCGTGTTGCAACACTACTTACAAAATTTGCTCGAAAATTATCGCCCAGCGCATTAGCTCCATTCTCGACTCAATCATTGATGGAGCTCAAGCCGCATTTGTGAGGGGTAGGAACAAGTCCGATAATATTCACCTCATGCAATGATTAATCCGGCAATACATGCGAAAGAGGGTCTCCCCGAGGTGCACTATCAAGATAGACCTTCGTAAGGCTTTCGATTCTATCTCTTGGGCTTTCTTGAGGCAAGTTCTTCTTGGACTTGAATTTTCCAGCAACTTTTATTAATTGGATCATGAGTGTGTCACCACGACTTCATACTCAATCTCTATAAATGGTTCGCTTTGTGGCCACTTCAAAGGTGCCAAAGGGTTGAGACAAGGAGATCCGCTCTCGCCTTACCTCTTTGTTATATGCTTGGAGTATCTCTCGAGACTCATGAACCGGAGCACGGCTAGCGGGTCGGGTTTCAACTATCACCTGAAATGTAAGTTTCTTAAAATCTCTCACCTAGCCTTTGCGGATGATTTAATGCTCCTTTCGAGGGGCAACCCATATTCTATTAAAATCTTAATGGATTGCTTGAGGGACTTTGGAGCTAAATCAGGCTTGGAAATGAATGTCCTAAAATCCAACATCTACATGGCGGGAGTTGGCCAAATGGAGCATTTGGAGATTCTTCGGGACACTAACTTCCGGCCGGGGTCCATGCCGTTCCGATACCTCGGTATCCCACTCACGGCGGGAAGAGTCACCGTTGGGCAATTTGATCCTCTCATAAATCAAATATCGAAATACATCATTGGATGGAACGCTCCCTCTCTCTCATATGCGGGAAGAGTGGAGCTCATTAGATCGGTCCTCCAAGGGGTGGAATGTTGGATTTTTGTCGTACGAATCAATCGCACACGCAGCGGAATTTTTAAAATTTTCTTACCAACAAGAAGATCCGGTTATAGCTATTCGATTTTGATCCTAGATCGCGAGAACTTACAGTTTAAGCTTTGTCTTCAACTATGGTATCCACGCAATCTAGATCCCGGTGCACGATCCAACACAGTGAATCCCTTCTGGTGAAGACGCTAGGAATCCTCAGTCAGGAAGCCAAAGAGAGTTTGTGTTTTTACGGCGTATCTCAATTATCTGATCTCTTACAACTGATAAAGAGATACCCACCTATTTATAATTAGGCTAAACCTAATTATGTGGGCTTTAGGACAACCTATAGCCCAATAGGTAATTGGACCTAATCCAATTAATGATTTAATTAAATCTAAGTCCAATTTAAACTTAATTATATATTTTCTATCTAATAGAAAATAATCTCATTACTAAAATTAAATATTCCAATCTAATTGAATATTAACACTCTCGATTCA